TCCCCCTCCTCTTCCTCCTCTCCCCCTTCCTCCCCCTTCCCTGGTTATTCAACTCAGAATCATGTGCTGAGATGGTGGGATGGGGTTGGGCCCCCTTCCCTGGTTATTCAACTCGGGAATCTTGTGCTGAGATGGTGGGATGGGGTTGGGATGACTTTGCCTCTCTCTCGGTTCACAGGTGTGTGAGAACAAGTTCTATAAGAGCAAAGACTCTCAGGAGTTAACTCCAAGCCTTGTGCCACAAGAGTCCAGTCCTCAGCCCGAAGGGAAGGAGCCTGGGCTGGCTAAGGAAGCTGCAGAGGAAAGCCTCGAGAGCAGAGACGAGGGAGAGGATGCCCAGAGCAAAGCCAAACCTGTGCCTAGGAAAGTGGAGTCTCTGCCCTCAGGTGTGTAACTCCTGTGCACAGGCAGGTGTGGAATCCTTCTCTTCCCAGGAGAATCCAGTTCCCAGTCCTGCCAGGCCATGACACTGGTCCTTTTCCAGTTCCCATCTAGCAGTTCAAACTCTCTCATCTGCCTTCAGCAATGTCCTTCATGTGCTTGTTTTGCCTTCACTCTGGGACAGCTGAGGAGAAACACCTTTACTGCTGGAGAAACATCCTGAGGGAGATCTGCCTCAGCTCCTGCTGCTGCTGGGGACAACCCCCAGTCACTCAGAGGACTTAAATGTGGTGCAGCCTCATGTCTGGGTGTGTAACCAAAGTGCCAAGAGCAGCAGTGACTGTTTCACTGCAGAGTTTTGTTCTGGGCAAAGCTTTTTTCCATGTCTTCATCACTTGATGCAGCAGCTGGTGAAGAAAATTGGCTGTAGATTTTCTTCTTTGAAGCACAGAGTGGCAGAAGTGCAGATAGAATTCCAGAGGTGCTCCCAAACTCTTCTCATTGACTGCTTTTATGCTCTGCAGTAGTTAAAAATCTCTTTTAAAAGTGTCAGTGAATGAAATCTCTAAGGGGTTTTCTCACTAACAGCTTGTTTGGGTTTCTTAGCAGGATCTCACCTGGAAGGAAAGGTTGGCTCCAGCAGACATGGTTCTTGGGAAAAACCTGCCCCTCCTGATGCTCAGGCTCCAGCAGCAGGTGCCAGTGTAGGTGTGGATGCTGCAAAGGACACAGACTCTGCTGCCCCAGGTCCCACATGGACCCAAACAGCTGCTCTAAAACTACCTCAAGAAACCAAAGACTGCCCTGGCACTGTGGGAAGTGAGAGTGAGAGACTAAACCCGCAGCCTGGAGGGAATGGAGATGCTTTGCTGGGGCTGAACAGGGATCTGCTGCTTTCTCCTCCCTCTACCACAGCAAAAGGGAGAACAGCACCTCAATCCTCCTGTGGGCAGAGCTCCTGTGCCACTGAAGAGCTTCGTTCTGGTCCAGCAGAGAGGCTCAGGGGCTTTGGTCCTGCTGCAGAAGTAGGTGGCAAAGACCTTGAGGGTTCACCTTTCCCTCTGGAAGGTAGAGCTGAAGCCAAGCAGGGCTGGATGGCAGCAGGTCCCAAACCAGCCCTGGGTGGGAATTGCTGCAGCTCAGATGCCCCTGGCCGTGACACAGATGGCACAGGCTGCACTGGAGCTGTTCCTGAGGGCAGGTTGAAGTCAAACCCAAACTGCTTCCAGGTGCGTCAGCATCCCGAGCAGCTGCAGCCCAGAGTGGGGCAGAAGGAAGAGGAGCAGCAACAGCAGCAGAGAGTGACAGAGGCCACTGTGTGTGCCAAGAACAGCAAAGTCAGCTCCACGGGGGAGAAGGTTGTGCTGTGGACCAGGTACACCTCCCTGTCCTGCCCTTTGCATCCTTCCTGCTCTCATACTCCAGAGGATCCTTTGGTTTCACTTTGTATTCTCATTTTCTGCTGTCTCCTGCCCTTTCCCTTTGAAGATTCCTGCCCTGTTGCCCCTGCCCATGGTCTGTCAGAGCTTGGCCCCAGGAGCTGCTCCTGGTAGTGTTATTGAGCACTTCAAGCTGGGAAGAGTTTGGGTTTTCTCCTTCAAAAACCTGCTTAGAGATGGTTCTGTGCTTGGAGGTGGCAGGAGGAATAAAGGAAGTTTTGCCCCTCTGGGGATTGTTCTCCTGAACCAGGACCAGGCTGAGGGTGGTTGGAGTCTGTCACTGTTTTTTTGGGGCTGCTCTCAGAGCTGTTTGTGTTGCAGGGAGGCTGACAGAGTCATCCTCACCACCTGCCAGGAGAAAGGAGCTCACCTGGACACCTTCCATGCCATCTCACAGAAACTGGGCAACAAGACAGCGAGTGAGGTGAGGATTTGGGGCGGGAAAGCCTTCTCCAGGAGGTGGGGAAGGAAGGGAAGGTGGGGACTGCTGCCCTGGGAAGTCTCCCAAACTTCAGTTTGATGAGAAATCATCCCTATTGCAAAGCAAAGGAGCAAAACCAAACCAAATCCTGATCTGTTCTGGTGGAGCCGAAAGTCCTGAGTGCTCTGGGCCTTCTTCAGTGTCACCACTGAATTTGGTAGCAGAGTTGTCAGGAGCTGCTCCTTGGGCCTTCAGCCTCCTGTTTTGTGTACAAGGAACCTGCCTAGTTTTGTCTCTGAGCTGCCAGATTGTACCCTGAGTCAATAGGGTGGGAAAAAACCCAGAAAACAGAACCACCCTGTGTTCTTCCATTGCTCCTTCCTGGCTGAATCGTGGCTGAAATGTGATTGTGGTCCTCAGGTTTATGGAATGCTAAAGCCCCAAACACCCTGAGCCTTCTAATATGCCATTTCAGCTTCCTCTCACCTCTGAGGTCACTGGTCATCTTGGCTTTCCTTTGTGGTTCAGGTGTCCCACAGGTTCAGAGAACTGATGAGGCTGTTTCACACATCCTGTGATGGAAGCTCAGAGGATGAGGAGGATGCAACCAGCACCAGTAACACAGATCAGCTGTCAGATAAAGACCTTCTCCTTTCTGAGGAAGAACCTGATGACTGAGGTGATAAACTACTGACTGTACCAGAAGAGGTTTTTGCCAGTTTGCTGCTAGACAGGTGCTGTGGGGAGAAAAATGTTTGCACAGGTACTTCAGACAGCACCTTCCATGGTTTTGTTCACTTTCCTGCTCCATTCTGAGCTACCACCTCCAGCCTGCACCAAACTGAAGGCATGAGGCAAAGGGTCAGGGTGAGAATGTTCTCTAGAAGCCACCTGGGGAGTGTCAGCAGTGAAAGGACAGAGCTGATGCTTGTGGACACTGACTTGGTGTTGGGGAGGGGAAGGTTGGGCCCAGCAGCCTTTGACCAGAACATGTAAATATTGTACCTTGTCAGTTTTCCTGTGGAACAAACTTTTTCTAACTTCTCCCCTTGTGCTGATTGTGAGAGAGTTACAAACTCTCTATTTTTGGGGGGGCCTTATTTGAATGGGCAAAGCAAATCTACTTGGCACAGGTGGGAAAAAATAACCCCAAACCCAAGTATACAAAAAACCACCCCAAAAAAAGCAGCTTTCCTCCTCTACAACACAACTGTGAGTAGCTGGAGGACCCAAACCAGTCCCAGCAAGAGGATTTGGGTGCAATGAGAAGAAAGCAGCAGCTGGGTTATCCACACAGCCATTCCCTTTATTCTGAGGGTCACCATGGAGCCCCTCTCACTTCCACTCTCTCCAAGTAATAAAGGTGGGTTAGTCTGAATCTGCTTCATCCTCAGATCCATCTGCTCCAAACCCTGTTTCGTAACACTGGGCCAGAGTCTTGAGCTCCTCTAAGGCCTCCTGGAAGTCCTCGTGTTCCAGCCCAGCGGCGAAGAAGCTGTTCCAGCGCCGCAGGTTCCTCGCTCGCAGCTCCTGGTGCAGGTCTGAGAGCAGTGTGTGCAGGGCTGAGGAGCTCTGCAGAGCTGCCAGCACAGGGATGCTCTGCACAGCTGCAGGAGGACAAGAGCCTGGGGTTAAAGATTCACCCAGACCTGGTGCCTTGCCCTATGGAATCATAGGATCAACCAGGTTGGAAG